CACAATTCAAACAGACCCAGAAACGGAAGATTATAACCAAAAACATATAAAGAACACAGAGTACGTATTTATATTCATGGTGAAAAGAACTGACTTGGGTCACGAACACTGGCTTTAACGGTGTACCCATGTTCGAGCAGAAGCTTTACGAGCCAAGATGCTATGAATCCCGATGCTCCGGTGACGCAGACTACCTTCCCTTCCCCACTCATCTCTTTCGGAATTAATGTTAAGAGTCAGTGTTTCTGCTTCGCTCTGTCTGAGTGACCCAAAAGGAACGGAACTAGATGATGATTATTATGGGCTATCAGAGATGGCTTGGAAATTGCTGCTGGGAAAGGAATCTCTAAAATTATTGTGGAAACTGACTCAAAAATTGCTGTTTTACTTATTGAGTTTACTGATACTACTTTGCACTCACTTGGAACTCTTATTTCTGATTGCAGATTGCTTCTACGCCTCTTTACGGATGCTAGGATCTCCCATATATATAGGGTAGCTAATGCGGCTGCTGATTTTCTTGCTAAACTTGGATCTACTAGTGCTGGTGATTTTGTCTTGTATGAGGAAAGTCCGCCTGTGGTTTCTTCCATTTTGTATCATGACTTAACTAGGACCAGGGGTGTTCATATCCGATCCAATCCGATTGATTCGATCTAAACTGATTCAATTCGATTAAAAACCAACCCAAACTGATATAAAATTGGTTGATTTGGATTATAAAAATTTATAACTGATATAATTGGTTTAGTTTGTGATTTTACTTTTAAACTGTCCGAATCGCCTGATTATAAAAAAAAATCCGATTATAAGAGAACTTAATTAAATAATATAATATTTTTATAATAATTCAAATTTTTTTTCTTATTTTACAAGATAATGACTCTGTTGATTTAATTAAAAATAAAAATAACATATCTTATATTTCCTAATTTATTTTTTATTTTCTTTTTAATTATATACCTAAATTTTAATTCTAAATTTCAAATTCCCCTACAATTATACTTTTATAAGTGAGTTGCAACTTTATTCTTAAAACCCTACCTTCTTGAGTGGCGTGCACTTGCCAAGATTATCGTCTTCATTTTGCTGGGTTGTCGTCTAGGTTGTCATTTTCATTTTGCTGGGTTTATTCTTAAACACATAATATGGGTGTCGACACCATGGGTTAACAATCTAGAATCAAACTTTCTATTTCCTGATTTGTGTGGACATGTAATTCAGGGTGTCAGCATTATACGTTCAACATCCAACATTCAAGTTTCTTATTCTGTTTCAAATCATACTTCTGTTTCAAATCCTACTTCCATTCCAATTAGGGTTTTTTAAACCTTATAAATACCCATCCAAATTCAGAATTAAAAGAGTTTGGGAGGCTAGTGGCAGCTCTCTTTTCTGTATTCTTAGAGATCAAGATAAAGATTTAAGAATTTGTTTATAATTTCTAAATGTTTTCAATTTTTACAATTGTAAAAGAGTATAAGAATTTGTTTATAATTTGTACTTTTTTAATTATGTTTCTATTTATTTGGATATTAACGTATTTTATATTTATGTTTTTTACTTAATGTTAAATTTATTTACATTATCTCATATATTTAATAGTGTTAAAAAACCGATCAATCTGACCGAACCACACCGATCCGATTTAAATTGAATTAGTTTAGTTATCATATAATAGTGGATTGAATTGGTTTAAAAATTTTACTAACCGATTAAATTGAATTGGATTAAAAAATGTTAAAATCCGAACCAAACTACACCGCGAACACCCTTAACTGGGACTTCCTTCCCAAGAACGATTGTAGCCAGCTAATTATCAATATATATTTCCTTATTCTACCAAAAAAAAAAAAAGATGAT